AACAATGCACGTCCATCTAGTAGCACAGATACAATTTTAAAACTCTGTCACTGTCATACAAAGCCAGCAAAGGTTTGTTCATCAAATTTATTTATTACTTATATACTTTTGCTTAAAGATGCCTCCAACTGCTCATATTATAGTGCTGAATGATAGGATGCTTTTTAAAGAACAAATAAAAAAGAATGTGGGAGGAAGCAGTCGTGGTCTAATACCACATATTATCATGACATTTGCCTGAAAGTGCTGACAAACACCACGAGAACCTTGGTCAAGATAGTTGGTCTCCATGCCAGAATTTGAACCAGGGACCTCTTGAATATGAAGCAGGGTGGTAACTGAAATGTTGTCTCTTTGCATTAAGAAATCGGCTGATTCATTCTTGGGTTATTTAACAATATTGTTTCAACTGTTGAAGTTATTTATACAGCACTGATTGTGAATGATGAAATGGAATAGATGTGGAAACACAATCTTTGTTTATTTTAAGGCTATATACCACCATGTGACTGGATGAAATTATTAAAATAAATATCATCAGTCAGGATACATAGTTTCCCAGGTAGATATGAACCAAGGTCCTTCCAGGTAGAAAGCAGAAGTGCTAGCCACTGAAAGAATATGAAATTAATGAATGTCAGACAGTTTTTCCACAGATTTAAGTTTCAAAACTGGGATTTAGCATTAGCAGTGTTGAGCATTCCGAAGTTCATCAGCAGTGATTTTCAGTTGTGGCATGGATTACCTTGGAGGTGGAGTTGTCCTTCAGTTTAAGGTCACTCTCCAGGAGCAAGTGTCTGCGCTGCGTCACGTGGCAACCGGGCATTGGACATGTGAGATCCAGTTCACCGTGTAGCTTAAGGAGTCGTTCCACATCATCATCCTTAGACTCCTGAAAACAGAACAAGAAGAAGATGAAAGGGATAGAATGTGTATTAGCCAGATTGGTCGAGGGGGAGAGGTCAGACTAAGACAGGTGCCCTAGTCTTTCAGGTTGGGGGGTTGATCACAAGGCCAACAACCTTGCACCGTAAAAAGGAAGATGTTTCAAAACCTCGATCAAAGCCTCGGACAGACGGACCTAACAGAGGACCGAATGGAAGAGGAGAATTGAGGAGGCCATGGACCGAATACGACCGGAGAGCCATAGAAGAAGAAGAGTCATGGTAGTACAATTATTACACATGTACTGGAGGAAATGTCTCTAATTCTAAAAATGTCAGTTTCATGATGTGGCCTGGGCCACAGCAAAAATTGAAAATTGATTGATGAGCATAAAAGAGTTTGACAGTATGTGTATCCCTCGAAGAAACTTGTACATTCGGTAAAAAAAAACAACCATAATCTGTAAGGCATAAAATAATTTAGAACTGGAAGAGTATTAATACTTGGAATCAGGGGAATCCCTACCCAGATATTTTTTAAAATAATCAGTATATACATTATGTTTTGTATTAATTCCACAACTCACCACCACATCATATGATTCTATCCTTGCGATGATGCCTTTCAGTCGTTCATGATCCTGTCGTTGTCTAAGAGTGGAATTGACGTCATTCACAAACTGGTCCACACATTTTATCTGCAATAAGATTGTAATGATGTCTCAAAAGCAAGAATAAATGAGTTTTGTTTTTCTATCAAGACTAATCCCTTGGGTCTATTACCCCCAGCTCTGATGTTAAGTATTGTAACAGGTGAGTACACAGGATTAGTAGAATAATGACTGATACGAGAATAACTCTCCCAGAACTATTATATCACAAATCACACATGATTTGTATTGGGATTCGATTAGGATCCGTCAGGTGAGAAGCCAGTGATTGCCTCAGCTTCCTAAGCTCAGGATTGTTGTCGAAAGAAATGTAAAACAAATAAAATACCGACCAACTTGCACATGGAAAAATTTATGTTTCCAGAGGCTGTTCAAAGTGGACTCACCATGATGGCAAGACTGTTCTGATGCTCTTCATTTTCTGTGTTCCTGTGGATTGCCTTCAGCAACAACGAGTACTTAGTGAGCCTCTGCATAGGCTGCACTACTATGTCCATGAGACGCAGTCTGTTGCAGTCCTTCTGGGTCTCACACCACTAAAATAAAGCAGGCTATTATGACGCAAATTCAAACTTTTATTTAGTGTGACATGCTAACATCATCATCTAGAAATGTAGACCATCTGCACAATTTTGTAACGTGTTTTAATGACTGAATAAGTGGATTCGACTTGTACATGTTTAATTTTTTTGAATCCTGTGTAAAGGAAAAAGTGTACTTCTCAAGTACGATGTCACTACAAGAGTTAAAAGAAATACTGTCAGTGACAGCTACAGTTATCCAGCATAAATGGGAAAAGGAAATGATTGCTGGGATACATACATGGCTCAAACAAAAACAATACACCAAAGACAAACAAAATTATAAAAATGTTATTTATAAGTAAATTTCTGTTTTGTTTTTATATCATGTCATAGGAAGATGATGATAAATTGTGAATAATGATTTGGATGCAGTGAATCTTGATACGTCTCAAAGTACCATTCTCTGCGTTTAGCTGGAGAGGCTGAGGAAGACTATGTAAAATTGCAATCAGGATTACTGTTAACGTGGCCTCTCCTGATACTGAGGTAGGAGCATTATGTGACTTAGTAACAAGGAGAAAATAGCCTAAACTCAAAGAATAGATGCTAATATAATTATTCTTAATAGACTGCTGATGTACCACAAGGTAGGCAGTGAAGACTTCATTCTCCTGATGTCGCTCCCGGCAATACTGTTGGCACTGTGCTTGCTCTGCGCAGTACTTTGTATATGGAAGGAAGATGTCCTGGAACTAAGACAATGACATGTCATTAAGAGCAGGACAGGCCAATGTTCACAGTGCACACAAATACATACAAAACCTTTCAAACATTTCATGAAAACAAAATCCTATAAAAATTAAATGTACATGAACATGGCATCCATGTGGCAGTCCTTCACAAAGATAAAGACGTTTCCCCAAGTGAAGCACTATACCATAGAGACCTTGATACTAGTATGAAGTCAGTAACAGTTTTATATTCTGGAACAAGACCCTATAACCACTGGAGTCTGGAGGTGGGGAGTTGGCCCCAAAGCCGTTCTGGATGTGGTGGCAAAAAGGAAAATACGTGACCCGGATCATACCCTAGTCATTCACTGTGTACAGAATCACTTTCTGTTTACAAAGCTTTTATGCCCCTCTTTTTTTTTATTAGATCAGATCTATTTATCTTCTTATGACATTTCCACTTTAGGTGGGTCATATGACAACAAAGACTCTCCATCTATCTCTGTCTTCCCACAACACCTCCTCCATTTCTTCCCATGGTCATCCTTCTTCCAGTATTGATCTAGACTCCCTCTTGCACATTTTCCATTCAACTTCACTTCTTTTGAATTCTCCCCTCACTCACTTTTAAAACGCATCCGTAACATCTCATTCCGTTATTGTAGATGTAAAATATATTGATCTTATTAATATTTATAATATCAATTTGAAATACAATTTTATGAAGCATTCTGTTTCCAATATCAGTGGCTTCATATTTTAAGGGCATGTGGAAAGTGTATTCAAATCTAAAAAATGGGCTGAATGTCTGCATAATTTTTCATCAACACCTATCACCCCTTCACCCAAAACTGGGAGTGTAGAAAAGTTTAGGACATTTCACCCATGGAGATAAAACACTTCAGCTGGGAACATGATGACCTTGACTGAATGAACTTGGTAACTACCCTTCCCTTCAACAGAAGAATCTTTACGATAAATTAACTATTTAATTATCTCATAGTTTCGTGGCGTAACAGCCGTCTGAGAGCCAAAGCCGAGACTAGCTGGCTGCTGGCCTCACATTCGCATGCCCAAACAGAGGTTAAAGATCATCCAACCAGATATAGGATGACGTGTGGTCAGCATGACGAACCCTCAGCCATGGCTAGTTTCCATGACTGGATTACGCTACTCATTGTAGCTCCCCAATTTCCTCTGTCCCCGAGACTCGAATCAGCGCGCATTCCGTATCAACTGTCCGAGGCATGATGCCTCAGACCGCACGGCTATGGCGCGGGACATCTCACAGTTGGTACATGGCAAAATTGCAGTAAAGTGTTCTCACCCTGCAGAAACCATCCCGAAGGAGCCGAGGACTGAGCGGCCGGCCTGTGTCCCGTGATTCAGCCAGCATGGGCAGGAGATGCTGACACCAGAAATGCCTGTTTGCCGCATAGATGTCAGTTATGTTGCTGAACAAGCGAGCTTTATCCACATCGTTCAAGATGTTGGCTGCTTGCAGATTACACAAACATGCCAAGAACAGCTGAAATTATAGTTTCAAGTTAAGGAACTTTAGTATGCCAACAGCTTCATAACAATGAAATGGGCATTTCTAAAGTAGTTGATATGGTTTTAAATTAAAAATAAGAACTGAATTTCATTATATTGAGTCCTGAAATCTCAAAGTAAAGGCTATCTGGAAGATCTACCCTGATAATTTATGTCTATAAATGGTACTGTAACCTGAAATGGATCTAATGTATCAGCTGTTGTGGAATGACGGCTGGGAATCTGAAGTAGTCGGTGTAAAATCTGGCCCACTGCCACAGTGTTTGTCACACATCCCATGTGTACTGTCCTGGTATTGAAGCTGGGTATTTGCAGTGAGAAGTTAGCATTTAACAAACTAAGCCAGTGGTCCCCAACCATTTTGAGCCTACGGGCACATTTGAGAGTTTATGAGATCGTGGCGGGCACCAACCAATTAACAAAGCCAAATTTTCTTTTCTCTGGACAAATAAGTTATGGACACCAAATAATACACAAAACAACACAACGTTTAATGACACAAGAAAACATGCAATCAAAAATACGTATTTTTATAAGTACAATTATTATTACTCAAGTGGGAAGGTAGTGTGATGTTTGGCACTGCATTTCATCGGCCAGTTTTTCAAATTTGGGAGTGTAGGATGATGTTTCTGCTCGCAAACAATCGTCAAGATGGGCGTCAGTAAGTCGAGATCTGCGCTTTGATTTTATAATGTTTCGTGGTTCATTATTCAGTATAACCTCTTTCCGTAACAACACGGGCACCCAAAAAAAGCCTTGCCGGGCGCTGCGTTGGGGACCACTGATCTAAGGTATGGCATGGCCTCATTTCCCCACCGCTGTCATTGGTATCAGAGACTTTCACATGTGTTTAAGAGAGACTTCTTTTAACAACTTCATGAAAATTTCTTATGCAGGACTGGATAAAAATAGTTCAAGACAAACAGTGATAACATTTCAGGTTCCATAAAACAGAAAATTTCTTGATCAGCTAAATAATTCTCAATTTTTGATGAAGACTGTGTAGCGTGGACTTAGTTACTTACATCTGTAATGACCTTTAGCGTGCGAATGTAGGCAATTTCTGTGGATAAGAGCTCCCAGATGGCAGTTTGCTGCTGGCGA